AGCGTCTGTAAAATTCTAGAACAAGGGCATAGCGTCTGCAAAAATTCAAGAACAAGGGCCTAGCGTCTGCAAAATTGCAAGAACAAGGGCCTAGCGTCTGCAAAATTGCAAGAACAAGGGCCTAGCGTCTGCAAAAATTCAAGAACAAGGGCCTTGCGTCTGCAAAAATTCAAGAACAAGGGCCTAGCGTCTGCAGAATTGCAAGAACAAGGGCCTAGCGTCTGCAAAAGTGCAAGAACAAGGGCCTAGCGTCTGCAAAAATTCAAGAACAGGGGCCTAGCGTCTGCAAAATTCAAGAACAAGGGCCTAGCGTCTGCAAAAATTCAAGAACAAGGGCCTAGCATCTGCAAATTTGCAAGAAAAGGGCCTAGCCTCTGCAAAATTCAAGAACAAGGCCTAGCATCTGCAAAAATTCAATAACAAGGGCCTAGCGTCTACAAAATTGCAAGAACAAGGGTCTAGCGTCTGCAAAAATTCAAGAACAAGGGCCTAGCGTCTGCAAAAATGCGAATTAAGGGCCTAGCGTCTGCAAAAATTCAAGAACAAGGGCCTAGCGTCTGCAAAAATTCAATAACAAGGGCCTAGCGTCTGCAAAAATTCAAGAACAAGGGCCTAGTGTCTGCAAAATTCAAGAACAAGGCCTAGCGTCTGCAAAAACTCAAGAACAAGGGCCTAGCGTCTGCAAAAATTCAAGAACAAGGGCCTAGCGTCTGCAAAAATTCAAGAACAAGGGCCTAGCGTCTGCAAAAATTCAAGAAGAAGGGCCTAGCGTCTGCAAAATTGCAAGAACAAGGGCCTAGCGTCTGCAAAAAAAAAATAAGAGGGCCTATCATATGCAAAATTCCAAGAACAAGGGCCTAGCGTCTGCAAAAATCAAGAACAAGGGCCTAGCGTCTGCAAAAATCAAGAACAAGGGCCTAGCGTCTGCAAAAATTCAAGAACAAGGGCCTAGCGTCTGCAAAAATTCAAGAACAAGGGCCTAGCGTCTGCAAAATTCCAAGAACAAGGGCCTAGCGTCTGCAAAAATTCTAGAACAAGGGCATAGCGTCTGCAAAAATTCAAGAACAAGGCCTAGCGTCTGCAAAATTGCAAGAACAAGGGCCTAGCGTCTGCAAAAATTCAAGAACAAGGGCCTAGCGTCTGCAAATTTGCAAGAACAAGGGCCTAGCGTCTACAAAAATTCAAGAACAAGGGCCTAGCGTCTGCAGAATTGCAAGAACAAGGGCCTAGCGTCTGCAAAAAATCAAGAACAAGGGCCTAGCGTCTGCAAAAATTCAAGAACAAGGGCCTAGCGTCTGCAAAAATTCAAGAACAAGGGCCTAGCGTCTGCAAAAATTCAAGAACAAGGGCCTAGCATCTGCAAATTGCAAGAAAAAGGGCCTAGCCTCTGCAAAAATTCAAGAACAAGGCCCTAGCATCTGCAAAAATTCAATAACAAGGGCCTAGCGTCTACAAAATTGCAAGAACAAGGGCCTAGCGTCTGCAAAAATTCAAGAACAAGGGCCTAGCGTCTGCAAAAATGCAAGAATTAAGGGCCTAGCGTCTGCAAAAATTCAAGAACAAGGGCCTAGTGTCTGCAAAAATTCAATAACAAGGGCCTAGCGTCTGCAAAATTCAAGAACAAGGGCCTAGTGTCTGCAAAATTCAAGAACAAGGCCTAGCGTCTGCAAAAACTCAAGAACAAGGGCCTAGCGTCTGCAAAATTCAAGAACAAGGGCCTAGCGTCTGCAAAAATTCAAGAACAAGGGCCTAGCGTCTGCAAAATTCAAGAACAAGGGACTAGCGTCTGCAAAATTGCAAGAACAAGGGCCTAGCGTCTGCAAAATTGCAAGAACAAGGGCCTAGCGTCTGCAAAATTGCAAGAACAAGGGCCTAGCGTCTACAAAATTGCAAGAACAAGGGCCTAGCGTCTGCAAAAATTCAAGAACAAGGGCCTAGCGTCTGCAAAATTCAAGAACAAGGGCCTAGCGTCTGCAAAATTCAAGAACAAGGGCCTAGCGTCTGCAAAAATTCAAGAACAAGGGCCTAGCGTCTGCAAAATTCAAGAACAAGGGCCTAGCGTCTGCAAAAATTCAAGAACAAGGGCCTAGCGTCTGCAAAATTCAAGAACAAGGGCCTAGCGTCTGCAAAATTGCAAGAACAAGGGCCTAGCGTCTGCAAAATTGCAAGAACAAGGGCCTAGCGTCTGCACAAATTCAAGAACAAGGGCCTAGCGTCTGCACAAATTCAAGAACAAGGGCCTAGCGTCTGCAAAATTCAAGAACAAGGGCCTAGCGTCTGCAAAAATTCAAGAACAAGGGCCTAGCGTCTGCAAAATCAAGAACAAGGCCTAGCGTCTGCAAAAACTCAAGAACAAGGGCCTAGCGTCTGCAAAAAATCAAGAACAAGGGCCTAGCGTCTGCAAAAATTCAAGAACAAGGGCCTAGCGTCTGCAAAATTGCAAGAACAAGGCCTAGCGTCTGCAAAAATTCAAGAACAAGGGCCTAGCGTCTGCAAAATTCAAGAACAAGGGCCTAGCGTCTGCAAAAATTCAAGAACAAGGGCCTAGCGTCTGCAAAAATTGCAAGAACAAGGGCCTAGCGTCTGCAAAAATTCAAGAACAAGGGCATAGCGTCTGCAAAAATTCAAGAACAAGGGCCTAGCGTCTGCAAAAATTCAAAAACAAGGGCCTAGCGTCTGCAAAAATTCAAGAACAAGGGCCTAGCGTCTGTAAAATGCAAAATTCAAGAACAAGGGCCTAGCGTCTGTAAAATTGCAAGAACAAGGGCCTAGCGTCTGCAAAAATTCAAGAACAAGGCCCTAGCATCTGCAAAAATTCAATAACAAGAGCCTAGCGTCTGCAAAATTGCAAGAACAAGGGCCTAGCGTCTGCAAAATTGCTAGAACAAGGGCCTAGCATCTGCAAAAATTCAAGAACAAGGGCCTAGCATCTGCAAAAATTCAAAAACAAGGGCCTAGCGTCTGCAATAATAGAGAAAACAAGGGCCTAGCGTCTGCGAAATTGCAAGAACAAGGGCGTAACGTCTGCAAAAATTCAAGAACAAGGGCCTAGCGTCTGCAAAAATTCAAGAACAAGGGCCTAGCATCTGCAAAAATTCAAGAACAAGGGCCTAGCGTCTGCAAAATTGCAAGAACAAGGGGCTAGCATCTACAAAATTGCAAGAACCAGGTCCTATCATCTGCAATATTGCAAGAACAAGGGCCTAGCATCTGCAAAAATTCAAGAACAAGGGCCTAGCGTCTGCAAAAAATCAAGAACAAGGGCCTAGCGTCTGCAAAAATTCAAGAACAAGGGCCTAGCGTCTGCAAAAATTCAAGAACAATGGCCTAGCGTCTGCAAAATTCCAAGAACAAGGGCCTAGCGTCTGCAAAAATTCTAGAACAAGGGCATAGCGTCTGCAAAAATTCAAGAACAAGGGCCTAGCGTCTGCAAAATTGCAAGAACAAGGGCCTAGCGTCTGCAAAATTGCAAGAACAAGGGCCTAGCGTCTGCAAAAATTCAAGAACAAGGGCCTTGCGTCTGCAAAAATTCAAGAACAAGGGCCTAGCGTCTGCAGAATTGCAAGAACAAGGGCCTAGCGTCTGAAAAATTTCAAGAACAAGGGCCTAGCGTCTGCAAAAATTCAAGAACAAGGGCCTAGTGTCTGCAAAATTCAAGAACAAGGGCCTAGCGTCTTCAGATTGCAAGAAAAAGGGCGTAGTCTCTGCAAAAATTCAAGAACAAGGCCCTAGCATCTGCAAAAATTCAATAACAAGGGCCTAGCGTCTGCAAAATTGCAAGAACAAGGGTCTAGCGTCTGCAAAAATTCAAGAACAAGGGCCTAGCGTCTGCAAAAATTCAAGAATAAGGGCCTAGCGTCTGCAAAAATTCAAGAACAAGGGCCTAGCGTCTGCAAAAATTCAATAACAAGGGCCTAGCGTCTGCAAAATTCAAGAACAAGGGCCTAGTGTCTGCAAAATTCAAGAACAAAGGCCTAGCGTCTGCAAAAACTCAAGAACAAGGGCCTAGCGTCTGCAAAAATTCAAGAACAAGGGCCTAGCGTCTGCAACAATTCAAGAACAAGGGCCTAGCGTCTGCAAATTGCAAGAACAAGGGCCTAGCGTCTGCAAAAAATAAAAATTAAGGGCCTATCATATGCAAAATTCCAAGAACAAGGGCCTAGCGTCTGCAAAAAATCAAGAACAAGGGCCTAGTATCTGCAAAAATTCAAGAACAAGGGCCTAGCGTCTGCAAAATTCCAAGAACAAGGGCCTAGCGTCTGCAAAAATTCTAGAACAAGGGCATAGCATCTGCACAAATTCAAGAACAAGGGCCTAGCGTCTGCAAAATTGCAAGAACAAGGGCCTAGCGTCTGCAAAATTGCAAGAACAAGGGCCTAGCGTCTGCAAAAATTCAAGAACAAGGGCCTTGCGTCTGCAAAAATTCAAGAACAAGGGCCTAGCGTCTGCAGAATTGCAAGAACAAGGGCCTAGCGTCTGCAAAAAATCAAGAACAAGGGCCTAGCGTCTGCAAAAATTCAAGAACAAGGGCCTAGCGTCTGCAAAAATTCAAGAACAAGGGCCTAGTGTCTGCAAAATTCAAGAACAAGGGCCTAGCGTCTGCAAATTTGCAAGAACAAGGGCCTAGCCTCTGCAAAAATTCAAGAACAAGGGCCTAGCATCTGCAAAAATTCAATAACAAGGGCCTAGCGTCTGCAAAATTGCTAGAACAAGGGCCTAGCGTCTGCAAAAATTCAAGAACAAGGGCCTAGCGTCTGCAAAAATTCAATAACAAGGGCCTAGCGTCTGCAAAAATTCAATAACAAGGGCCTAGCGTCTGCAAAATTCAAGAACAAAGGCCTAGCGTCTGCAAAAACTCAAGAACAAGGGCCTAGCGTCTGCAAAAATTCAAGAACAAGGGCCTAGCGTCTGCAAAAATTCAAGAACAAGGGCCTAGCGTCTGCAAAATTGCAAGAACAAGGGCCTAGCGTCTGCAAAAATTAAAATTTAGGGCCTATCATATGCAAAATTCCAAGAACAAGGGCCTAGCGTCTGCAAAAAATCAAGAACAAGGGCCTAGCGTCTGCAAAAAATCAAGAACAAGGGCCTAGCGTCTGCAAAAATTCAAGAACAAGGGCCTAGCGTCTGCAAAATTCAAGAACAAGGGCCTAGCGTCTGCAAAATTCCAAGAACAAGGGCCTAGCGTCTGCAAAAATTCTAGAACAAGGGCATAGCGTCTGCAAAAATTCAAGAACAAGGGCCTAGCGTCTGCAAAATTGCAAGAACAAGGGCCTAGCGTCTGCAAAATTGCAAGAACAAGGGCCTAGCGTCTGCAAAAATTCAAGAACAAGGGCCTTGCGTCTGCAAAAATTCAAGAACAAGGGCCTAGCGTCTGCAGAATTGCAAGAACAAGGGCCTAGCGTCTGCAAAGATTCAAGAACAAGGGCCTAGCGTCTGCAAAAATTCAAGAACAAGGGCCTAGCGTCTGCAAAAATTCAAGAACAAGGGCCTAGTGTCTGCAAAATTCAAGAACAAGGGCCTAGCGTCTGCAAATTTGCAAGAACAAGGGCCTAGCCTCTGCAAAAATTCAAGAACAAGGCCCTAGCATCTGCAAAAATTCAATAACAAGGGCCTAGCGTCTACAAAATTGCAAGAACAAGGGTCTAGCGTCTGCAAAAATTCAAGAACAAGGGCCTAGCGTCTGCAAAAATTCAAGAATAAGGGCCTAGCGTCTGCAAAAATTCAAGAACAAGGGCCTAGCGTTTGCAAAAATTCAAGAACAAGGGCCTAGCGTCTGCAAAAAATCAAGAACAAGGGCCTAGCGTCTGCAAAAATTCAAGAACAAGGGCCTAGCGTCTGCAAAAATTCAAGAACAAGGGCCTAGCGTCTGCAAAATTCCAAGAACAAGGGCCTAGCGTCTGCAAAAATTCTAGAACAAGGGCATAGCGTCTGCAAAAATTCAAGAACAAGGGCCTAGCGTCTGCAAAATTGCAAGAACAACGGCCTAGCGTCTGCAAAATTGCAAGAACAAGGGCCTAGCGTCTGCAAAAATTCAAGAACAAGGGCCTTGCGTCTGCAAAAATTTAAGAACAAGGGCCTAGCGTCTGCAGAATTGCAAGAACAAGGGCCTAGCGTCTGCAAAAAATCAAGAACAAGGGCCTAGCGTCTGCAAAAATTCAAGAACAAGGGCCTAGCGTCTGCAAAAATTCAAGAACAAGGGCCTAGTGTCTGCAAAATTCAAGAACAAGGGCCTAGCGTCTGCAAATTTGCAAGAACAAGGGCCTAGCGTCTGCAAAAATTTAAGAACAAGGGCCTAGCATCTGCAAAAATTCAATAACAAGGGCCTAGCGTCTACAAAATTGCAAGAACAAGGGTCTAGCGTCTGCAAAAATTCAAGAACAAGGGCCTAGCGTCTGAAAAAATTCAAGAACAAGGGCCTAGCATCTGCAAAAATTCAAGAACAAGGGCCTAGCGTCTGCAAAAATTCAATAACAAGGGCCTAGCGTCTGCAAAAATTCAAGAACAAGGGCCTAGTGTCTGCAAAATTCAAGAACAAAGGCCTAGCGTCTGCAAAAACTCAAGAACAAGGGCCTAGCGTCTGCAAAAACTCAAGAACAAGGGCCTCGTGCCTGCTCACCCTCGTGCCTGCTCACCCTCGTGCCTGCTCACCCTCGTGCCTGCTCACCCTCGTGCCTGCTCACCCTCGTGCCTGCTCACCCTCGTGCCTGCTCACCCTCGTGCCTGCTCACCCTCGTGCCTGCTCACCCTCGTGCCTGCTCACCCTCGTGCCTGCTCACCCTCGTGCCTGCTCACCCTCGTGCCTGCTCACCCTCGTGCCTGCTCACCCTCGTGCCTGCTCACCCTCGTGCCTGCTCACCCTCGTGCCTGCTCACCCTCGTGCCTGCTCACCCTCGTGCCTGCTCACCCTCGTGCCTGCTCACCCTCGTGCCTGCTCACCCTCGTGCCTGCTCACCCTCGTGCCTGCTCACCCTCGTGCCTGCTCACCCTCGTGCCTGCTCACCCTCGTGCCTGCTCACCCTCGTGCCTGCTCACCCTCGTGCCTGCTCACCCTCGTGCCTGCTCACCCTCGTGCCTGCTCACCCTCGTGCCTGCTCACCCTCGTGCCTGCTCACCCTCGTGCCTGCTCACCCTCGTGCCTGCTCACCCTCGTGCCTGCTCACCCTCGTGCCTGCTCACCCTCGTGCCTGCTCACCCTCGTGCCTGCTCACCCTCGTGCCTGCTCACCCTCGTGCCTGCTCACCCTCGTGCCTGCTCACCCTCGTGCCTGCTCACCCTCGTGCCTGCTCACCCTCGTGCCTGCTCACCCTCGTGCCTGCTCACCCTCGTGCCTGCTCACCCTCGTGCCTGCTCACCCTCGTGCCTGCTCACCCTCGTGCCTGCTCACCCTCGTGCCTGCTCACCCTCGTGCCTGCTCACCCTCGTGCCTGCTCACCCTCGTGCCTGCTCACCCTCGTGCCTGCTCACCCTCGTGCCTGCTCACCCTCGTGCCTGCTCACCCTCGTGCCTGCTCACCCTCGTGCCTGCTCACCCTCGTGCCTGCTCACCCTCGTGCCTGCTCACCCTCGTGCCTGCTCACCCTCGTGCCTGCTCACCCTCGTGCCTGCTCACCCTCGTGCCTGCTCACCCTCGTGCCTGCTCACCCTCGTGCCTGCTCACCCTCGTGCCTGCTCACCCTCGTGCCTGCTCACCCTCGTGCCTGCTCACCCTCGTGCCTGCTCACCCTCGTGCCTGCTCACCCTCGTGCCTGCTCACCCTCGTGCCTGCTCACCCTCGTGCCTGCTCACCCTCGTGCCTGCTCACCCTCGTGCCTGCTCACCCTCGTGCCTGCTCACCCTCGTGCCTGCTCACCCTCGTGCCTGCTCACCCTCGTGCCTGCTCACCCTCGTGCCTGCTCACCCTCGTGCCTGCTCACCCTCGTGCCTGCTCACCCTCGTGCCTGCTCACCCTCGTGCCTGCTCACCCTCGTGCCTGCTCACCCTCGTGCCTGCTCACCCTCGTGCCTGCTCACCCTCGTGCCTGCTCACCCTCGTGCCTGCTCACCCTCGTGCCTGCTCACCCTCGTGCCTGCTCACCCTCGTGCCTGCTCACCCTTGCCCCTGCTCTCACCTACCCACGCCACGCCACCTGTGTGCTCTGGTCGTGTCTCCTCCATCCCCCACCGCCCTTTCTATCCGCCATGCTTCTATCCCCCCCCTCAACCCCATTGCTTATCCACCACTCATGCGTCCAACCTCTCTCACCCTCCACTCCCCCCCCTCCCCCCCCTTCCCTCCTCTCCGGCCCGCCGGCCCCCTGTGCCCCGCGCAGCTTCATTCTGTATGCCATCGCCCTGCTGCCATGCAACCAGCACCCCTCACCCCCTGCCACTGCTGCCACCGCTGCCACCAGTGCCAGCAGTGGCAGCAGCGGGGGAGGGGGAGGAGGGGAGGGGATGCGGGGGGGCGTGGTGACAGCGGCGGAGGGGTTGGCTCGCATGGCACTCTTCCTCAATTCCGTCGGCCGGTGGGTGCTGGGTGCTGGCTGCTGCCTGCTGGGTGGGTGCTGGCTGCTGCCTGCTGGGTGGGTGCTGGCTGCTGCCTGCTGGGTGGGTGCTGGCTGCTGCCTGCTGGGTGGGTGCTGGCTGCTGCCTGCTGGGTGGGTGCTGGCTGCTGCCTGCTGGGTGGGTGCTGGCTGCTGCCTGCTGGGTGGGTGCTGGCTGCTGCCTGCTGGGTGGGTGCTGGCTGCTGCCTGCTGGGTGGGTGCTGGCTGCTGCCTGCTGGGTGGGTGCTGGCTGCTGCCTGCTGGGTGGGTGCTGGCTGCTGCCTGCTGGGTGGGTGCTGGCTGCTGCCTGCTGGGTGGGTGCTGGCTGCTGCCTGCTGGGTGGGTGCTGGCTGCTGCCTGCTGGGTGGGTGCTGGCTGCTGCCTGCTGGGTGGGTGCTGGCTGCTGCCTGCTGGGTGGGTGCTGGCTGCTGCCTGCTGGGTGGGTGCTGGCTGCTGCCTGCTGGGTGGGTGCTGGCTGCTGCCTGCTGGGTGGGTGCTGGCTGCTGCCTGCTGGGTGGGTGCTGGCTGCTGCCTGCTGGGTGGGTGCTGGCTGCTGCCTGCTGGGTGGGTGCTGGCTGCTGCCTGCTGGGTGGGTGCTGGCTGCTGCCTGCTGGGTGGGTGCTGGCTGCTGCCTGCTGGGTGGGTGCTGGCTGCTGCCTGCTGGGTGGGTGCTGGCTGCTGCCTGCTGGGTGGGTGCTGGCTGCTGCCTGCTGGGTGGGTGCTGGCTGCTGCCTGCTGGGTGGGTGCTGGCTGCTGCCTGCTGGGTGGGTGCTGGCTGCTGCCTGCTGGGTGGGTGCTGGCTGCTGCCTGCTGGGTGGGTGCTGGCTGCTGCCTGCTGGGTGGGTGCTGGCTGCTGCCTGCTGGGTGGGTGCTGGCTGCTGCCTGCGTGCTGGGTGGCCGCTGTGTGCATTGTGCTGGCACGGCACAGGGGTGGGTGTGAAGCGGTGGTTGCCCGCATATGCTGGCCCTCAGGGCAGGGCAGCTCACCACTGCATTCGCCACGCCCTGTCACGCGCCAGCCCCTTCCATATGCAGCTTTTTTTAATGGTTGTGCAGCTCTGCTCCCGTGCGCACGTGTGCGTGGGCATGGGCATGGGCATGGGCATGGCACGGCATGGCACGGCATGGCATGGCATGGCATGGCATGGCACGGCATGGCACGGCATGGCACGGCATGGCACGGCATGGCATGGCATGGCATGGCATGGCATGGCATGGCAGGTACGGCACGGAGGCGGGCATGATGGTGGCGCTGTACGGCATGGGCGAGCTCGCCCAGGCCTTCTGCCGCCTCGCTGCCGTCAAAGGCGCCCTCTATGTCAGTGCTGCCCCCCGCATGCCACATGCACCCCTCATGCTGCCTGTTCCCCCTTGCCTCATGCCCCCACGGTGCATCATACCCCCACTCTGCCTCATGCCCCCACTGCTGCTCTTCACCATGTTGCATGCTGCTCCTCAGTCTCCTCGCTACTCTGTTTGCTGGCAGCATTCCCGCTGCTGATTGCTCCACCCATCCCTCTTCCCACCTTCTCTGTGTCACATGCTGTGTGCTGCGTGGTGCTACTGCAGGTGCTGCGTCGGCCCGTGGCGTCTCTTCTTGTGAATGCAGTGCGTGCCAACCCTTACTTTTCTCTGCGCGCGCCACCCTCCACCTGTTCCCGCACCTGCACCCGCACCTGCACCCGCACCTGCACCCGCACCTGCACCTGCACACGCACATGCACACGCACATGCACACGCACATGCACACGCACACGCACATACACACGCACATGCACACACACATGCACACGCACATGCACCTGCACACATACACCCGCACCTGCACCCGCACCTGCACCAAGGGCTGGACCTGCAAGGAGCAGCAATGAATGGCATCTATGCTCCATACGTATCACACGTTCACACGTCTCTGAATCACGTGTCACAAGTCTCTGAATCACCTGCCCACACTCACCCGGAGCCGCATCCCTCACCATCTACCAGAATATCCCCCGTCGTCTTTGCCCCATGTACCAATCCCCTCCCGCGGCGCATCCCCCCTTCCCCCCCCCCTCCCCCCCCCCAGCACACGGGGCGGTGTGAGGGAGTGGCGTTGGAGGACGGGCAGCTGCTGGGCTCGCCCCTCGTGCTCCTCGGCCCCTCCTTCCTCCCCAACCCACTGCCCCCCGCACCATCCGCCGCACCACCCGCAGCACCACCCTCAGCAGAGCCCGCAGCAGTGAGCGGCAGTGTTGAAGCACGTGGGAGCGCAGCAGGTGGCAGTGACACGTGTGTGGGTGGGGTAGGGACGAGCCCAGGCGTGGCGGGGTCTCAGTCTCACGGTGGCGGTGGCGGCGCTGGTGGTGGTCTGGACAGCGCAGGCAAGACAAGTGCCGAAGGGGAGAGGGGGGAAGAGGAGGAGGAGCAGGGGGAGGGGGTGGTGGCGCGCTGCATTTGCATCACCGACGGTTCCCTGCATCAACACATGCACACTCTCGTTGCTGTGCTGCCGCCCACATGTGAGTGCTGCCGCCCACGTGTGAGTGTAGCTGCTGAGAGGTGTAGGCAAGACTGCCCTTCTCTGGCTCCCAGCTCGTCTCATTCTCTTTCCCATGCAACGTGTCTCTCATCTGGAGCGTCTTAACGTCGCCTACAATAGGCAATTTAGATCGCACGATTTCATCAAGAATTGACGACACAGCGTCAGATTGAACGAACGGCACTATGGCAGCAACATAGTCTTAGGACAAACAAATACGAACAACTAGGAAGAGTTACGAGTTGGGAATGACTCCCAGCTCCTACAAACCCCAAGAGCCGATGTACACTGATGGGGAACAGTGCCACACTGTCCCTAACCAAGAAGGGTCTCGAAACTACCCTTCACAAGGGCCTACACCAACTGAAATGTTACACTACACATTGTAATGTAACAATCTTGAATATCTTGAGGTGTACCCTTTCGGCGAGCTTCGAAATCACTTGAAGCTTGCAACCAAGGCTCGGGTTTCTCATCACAAACTCAACCTTGAGTTCTTGATGGGTCTGCTGCACACACCTGCGACACGCCGAACGTTCGACAAGCGACAAAATAGAAACCGCGCACGGGACACACGACAAAATAGAAACCGCGCGCGAGACACAAATGACCGCATTGACACGCGGCTAGCGATAACTCGCTATTGACTCGACACACACACTCGACATCATGACCCATCATTCACACACCATTATAAGCATGAAATATATATTTATTTCATGCACTCATGCCACTCCATGCACACACGCATGCACGCACACGCACACGGACAACAAGCCGAGTGCAAGCCGTAGGGTTGCACCAACAGTACCTACCATACTAGTCTACAGCATGGCACTCTCCCCCCTCTCGTGTGGGTCCCCTTCATTCTCGATTGCCGTCTCCCATCACCATCACACCACACCCCCCCCCCCGCTCCTGCACTGCAGGTACCTGCTGTATCTCTCCACCGGCTGCCTCCCCTCCCACTGCCCTCGCGCCCTGCTGCTGCCCGTGCTTGCTGCCCTCACTTCGTTGCCACACTCCTCCCCCACCACTCATTCTGCTGCTGCTGCTGCTGGAGGTGTGAGTGAGGGGGGTGGCAGGAGCAAGCAAGCAGAGGGAGTGGGTGCGGAGGAGAATGGGGAGAGAGGGGTGGGCGGGCAGGGGGGAGGAGAGGGAGATGAAGGAGGGGAGGAAACGGCGTCATCCAACCGTATGGTATCAGAGCAGGTGGGGTCAGAGGCGGGGGTGGGCGAGGAGCATGGAGAGGAGGCAGCGGGGAAGGGGAGGCCCACTGCGCTGTGGGCTGTGTTCTTCTCGCAACGCCTGCTGGACGCCCGCAGTGTGCAGGTATGGGCCATGGCATGCCCGCAGTGTGCAGGTATGGGCCATGGCATGCCCGCAGTGTGCAGGTATGGGCCATGGCATGCCCGCAGTGTGCAGGTATGGGCGATGGGACACTCGTGCACCATGTGTGATGCACCGTGCACCGTGCTTTGTGCACTATTCATGCAGCAGAATTCTCGACGCAGGATTCCCGATGCTCTCCCCCCCACGGCAGGTGCCGGAGGGCGTGTTTGCATGCAGTGCTCCGAGCGACTCCCTGCACCTGCAGTCAGTGGTCGAGGAGGCCCAGCAGGTGAGCCCTTGCACCCATGCTGCTGCTGCTTGCGATGAAACTGTAATGCTCGAGATGTTATTGTAATGGCTGGAATGTTATTGTAAGGCTGGGATGACACTGGTGGCTGAGATGACATTGTGATGACGGAGAGATGGCAGTGATGATGGAGAGATGGCACTATTCTGGTGGATGGTGATGGATGATGATGTGGCAGACAGGGTTCTTCTAATCCACACAATCTCTGGAATCTCTTCTTGCCTGTACTGTTTCCGCCTGCCTTTGGCTTGCGATGCGGGCAGATCTTCACGCGCATTGCCCCCGGGGAGGAGTTCTTCCCCACCCGCCTGGATGAGGAGAGGGATGATGAGGCACACGGGTTTGACAAAGGTAACTCGGAGGAGCATGCCAATGGGGACGGGGATGGGCATGGGCATGGGGATGGGGATGAGCATGGAGATGAGAGGAGGGTCCAGAGCAACGGAGGGAGGTGATGCACGTTGCAGAGTCAATATATGTTACACAAGGGAAAGTCGTCTGATCGCGACAAACAAGCCGCTTGCATATTCCCATGCTCTGGAGGCATTGTTGTGCTTCTTCAAATGCGAGACATTAGTTGTTACCATTTATGAAAGTATCTAGTGGAAGAAGGTGAAGGGCACACATTCTTAGGATGACTAGCGCAACTACATACCATAAAATTGTTACACTCATAAACATGACTTGGCCAGGGAACGGCTCAGGGTTGATCGCTGGTAGCATTGCAGCTGAAGTGTTGAGCTCAGGTATCGCAAGAGTGAATGTAAAATGACAGAGATGGGAATACCGTCAGGGCTCTGGTTATCAGACAAATTTCGTCTGATTGTCTGATTTTCAGACACGATTTTTTGTGTTCATATGATTTTCCAGACAAGTCATTTATGTTCGTATGATCTCTCAGATAAAGCATTTTGATTCATCTGAAAAATAAGTCTAAGGGCTTATAACTCGTCTGAGTACTCAAGACAGAGAGTATGTTTCAATCTTGAAACAGACAAGTACCGAAGCTTGCTCGCAGTTGGAGTACCGTAAGAAGCAGAGTACTATAAAGCACACCCAACCTTTCTCTCGCTAGATTTGACTCAGTCATCAGCTAGTTTTCCCGTTGCAGTACAGGGCAGGGTTCGATTCCTGCTGTTGCACAGTATGTTCGGAGATCTGGTTTAGTTCTTGTCTGGAAATTCAGACAAGTGTTGATGTTTCATCTAGAAAATCAGACCACCTGAGTTTGCTCATATTTCCTTCAGACGAAAATTTTCCTCGTACTTTCATTTCAGATGGGCCAAAAACCTAGCCAGAGCCCTGAATACCGTATGGCCCCGGATAGGTAAGCGCCGTCCCTTATAGCATGGTGATTGTGACCGCATACAGACCAAACTGACGCGGATCTATGTAATTCGGCAGATATAGGCATTCTAGTTGTGCATGGTACATGCATTTAGGGCAGGGTTTTTTTTATCAGAGTAAATTACTCTGTTTCTCTGAAAATCAGAGTGCTCTTTTATAGGGTACTCTGTACCTTGCTGGGTATTTTTTAAGGGAGTTACCTTTCCTCTGATTTGTTAGAGTAATCTTGTAAAGGACTCTGATGCCTCAGTGTAACTTTCAGGAGATTACCGTTTCCTCTGTACCGGGTACAGGCGAGCCAAGCGTACCCCCCTTGTTTGCTTGCGTCAGATGGTCAGTCACACGGATGTAGCTTTGAATGTTATAGATAAAATTAATGAGCAAGCTGTTGTTATAGAAGTAGCACAGCGGTGCATCATTTTGTGGGAACGCGAAGGTGCAGGGTTCAACACTTGGAGAGAGTACTGAATAAAGAAAATAGTTACACTGACTGTGCAGGGTTATTTTTTAAGAAGTTCAGAGTAACGCTCAGGATCAACTCTGACAAATCAGAGTAACGCTCAGGATCAACCCTGAGTTTCAGAGTTTAACAAAAAACAACCCCGAACGTCCGAGCAATGAAAAACGGAAAAAAAAAAAAACCCCTGATTCAGGGCCTCAGATTCGTTTTGGCGTAGACATGCCAAATTATACATGTGTTAGCTTTGTGTAGGCTGTACTGGGGTAGCCCGTATGGGGTACAACCCAAATTAGGGTTAGTACTTGTACCCACAATTGCTTCTTTCAATCCAATCATTCCTGCCTGTAGTTTCTAACATGGTTTCAGAGCAGTAGGTCCGTAGGACCGTTTTTTTTTCGGGCCCACCTACCGTTGTGGTTACTGAGCTGCCCCACGTGTTGCCTGCGCTGCGCCGCCCGCGCGCGCCTTGCCTTGCCTGCGCTGCGCTGCCCGCGCGCGCCTTGCCTTGCCTGCGCCTTGCCTTGCCTGCGCTGCGCTGCCCGCGCGCGCAAACCCTAATTCTGCGCGCACCTCGCTGCTGCCCCGCGCGTCGCGTCCGTCGCCTACGCGGCCCGCTGCTGCCCCGCTGCTGCCCGTGCGCCCCTGCAGCCCGTCGCGTCGCCCGTCTGCCCTGCCTCTGCCCGTCGCGTCGCCCGTACGGGCTGTCCCAGCCCGTCGCGTCGCCCGTCCGCCCTGCCTGCCTGTCGCGTCGCCCGTACGGGCTGTCCCAGCCCGTCGCGTCGCCCGTACGGGCTGCCTGCCCGTCGCGTCGCCCGTACGGGCTGTCCCAGCTTGTCGCGTCGCCCGTACGGGCTGCCTGCCCGTCGCGTCGCCCACTGCTGCCCCGCGCACCGCCCGCGCAGCCCGCGCCGTGCCTCAGCAGCCCGCGCGCGACCCGCCGCAGCCCCGCGCGCCGCCCTACCTGCGTGTGCCGCGCCTCCGCGGCTTCGTGCGCCGCGCCCGACCTGCCTCTGTCGCGGCTGCGCCCTGCCACCGACACGGCCCCGCCCTGCCGCCGACACGGCCCCGCCCTGCAGACCACGGAAGCGGCCCCGACCTGCCGCTGACGCGGCCCCGCCCTGCAGCTGCCGCGGCCCTACTCTGCAGCCGCTGTTGCGGCCCCGCCGTCGCCGCAGTCGTGTGTCTACCCTGCCGCCGCCCGCCTCTGCGGCCCCGCCCTGCAGCTGCTACGGCCCTACTCTGCAGCCGCTGTTGCGGCCCCGCCGTCGCCGCCGTCGTGCGCCTACCCGGCCGTCGTCCGCCGAGCGCCGGCCCTGCTCGCCCGGCGAGCGCCTGCCCTTCCAGCCTTTGGTGAGCACCTGCCTGCCTGCCGGCCTGTCTGCCTGCCTGCCTGCCTGCCGGCCTGCCTGCCTGCCTGCCTGCCTGCCTGCTGGCCTGCCTGCCGGCCTGCCTGCCTGCCTGCCTGCCTGCCTACCTGCCTGCCGGCCTGCCTGCCTGTCGGCCTGCCTGCCTGCCTGCCTGCCGGCCTGCCTGCCTGCCTGTCTGCCGGCCTGCCTGCCTGTCGGCCTGCCTGCCTGCCTGCCTGCCTGCCTGCCTGCCGGCCTGCCTGCCTGCCTGCCTGCCTGCCCACCTACCTGCCTGCCTGCCTGCCTGCCTGCC